GCCTTGGGCCAGGGCATGAAGGTGCTGCTGTCCCGTCTTGTCCTGTCCTGTCCAGGGTAACCCATGCACGCCTTCATCCCCTTCTGCACATCTTCATCACCCTCTGTGCCCACTCTTTATTCCCATCCCCTTTCACTCACCGGCATCCCTGTGCTCACCTCCATCCCCTTCCACACGTTTTCATTGTCTTCTGCACACTGTAATGCCCTGCCACACACCTTCATCCTCCTCTTCCTTCCCATCCCGATGTCTTCATCTCACACCAAACACCCCCATCCCTCTCCTCATCCTCACACACACACACACACACATACACACTCTCAGTCCCCTGCATCCCACCAATGTGCAGATTATTCCCTGTTTCACGCACCCCATGGTGCCCAGGGTGGGAATTCAGCCCATGCTGTTGGGATTTCTCAAGGGAATTCAGCCAGGATCCACGCCGTGGTCACTTCCTCTGAGCGAGCTGATGGGTGGTAATGTGCTAAGCCACAGCAAGCTGATCACATACAAATCCCTGGCCACGACCCAGCCTGACCATCAGGAGCTGCAGCCCCAAAAGGGGCAAAAGCCCCAGTCCCCCTGGGCCTCCACAGGGCTGTGCCACAGTACCCAAAACCCCCAGAGATAAATCAGGGTGAGGAATCCTCCCAGCGCCCTGCTGGGACAAGGGATGTTCTTTGCATCCCGTTCCTTCCAGAAACATATTTTTCTAATTTTCACCATGAGCTCGGTTGTATTCAAGCGTTTTGGGACAAGACAGCCAATGCTTCAGCCCGTGAAGCGACGGGCTCTGAGGCATCCAGCGCATTCAGCAATTGTGTGTGATTCATAAAGCCATATCGCATTCTTCCACCCTTGGCCTGCTGCTAACTTGTAAGAAATCTGGACCGAAAACTGCAACAAAATGGCTGCTATTCTCCAAGGGCTGCTCAGAGCCTCGTTACTCATCCCTTACTTGGGCAAAAATGACATTGAGTGCTCCTGGAGATGACAGCCTTAATTGAGTTCAATAGGAGTTTAGGCTGAGTAAGGCATGAGCAAACAAGTGTGCATTAGCCCATGAACAAAATCCTGATCCACAAATGTTTAGGAACACATGTAACCCTGAGCGGGGGAGGGCTGAGGGGGTCCCTGCTGCTCTGGCCTTGCCATTTGGGCAGGGGTCTGGCTGCAGCATCCAGCACAACTGATGGCGATGCTGGGATGAGCTTGTTCAGGGGTGCAAAGATTCAAGGCTGGCTCAGTGGTTTGTTTCCATTCTGCCTCTTAATTTTTATTTATTTTCCTCCTTCAGAACTCCACAGTCCTTGTTTCTGCTATTTTTCTGTCCACTGGTGGGAACAGCAACTTCCTTTCTCAAATTATAATATAAAAGAGCTGCAAGCTGCCACGCCATAAATAATATTTTCTTATGGCCAGAACATCCAAGTCTAGGCAACACACCAAGAACAGCTACAACATTGTAAAACTCCAACACTTCTCCAGAATGGATTCACTAATTAAAAAATTACTCCTTTTAAAAAGCAGTTGAAAAATATTGGCTTTCCCATTGCTGCATCGAGAAGCCCATCCTGCAAAGCCACAGCTGAGCTCACCAGTCTGCCTTTCCCCCTAAAAAGTGTTACCAAATAAATAGAAGGGGAGGGGGAGGGAAGAGAAGAGCACCTCATGGCAATCACTTCTTTAATTAATTAAAGTTTTGCCACTTCAAAGCTGGAGAGAGATGCCCAGGGCTGGGGCCAGGGCAGCTCGCTGGGAACCAAACATCTCCAGCCCTTCCATTGCTGGATGAGGAGTTTCCCAGTGCTGGTTTCCCCTCCCACAGCCCCCAGGATGTACCAGCCCTTCCCTCCTCAGGCTGCCTGCCCAGTGGGGCATTTGCCTCCTGGAACCCACAGAAATATCTGTCAGCCCCCCAAAGAGATCAGGGCTCAGAGCTGGGTGCATGGAGCCCCCCAAACCCCCTCTGCAGAGGAAGAAGAGTGGTCAGAGAAGAGCCCCACGTCCACCTTGCTGCTCAGCTCTGGACCAGCATCTTTGCACCCATCAGGACAGGATGGGGACGAACCACAGAGAGAGCCACCAGCGCTGCAGGGACACTGGCCCTGTCTGGGATGGGCTCAGCAGCGAGGTGGGGCCTTATTTTCTTCCTCCCCTTTGCCTTATAAGCACCTCTGCAAAAATAAAACTCATTTCCCAGGAGGTTCCCTTGAGGAGCTGACGACAGTCGCCTCTGGCCACTGGCCACGCTTGTGCCCCTGCACGAGCACTTTTTGGGGTTAAATCCACGTCTACAGCACCAGCCCAAAGCCAGCACCCCTAAAAAGCTTCAGAAACCTCAAAGTCCCACACTGCAGGGAAAACACCATCCCTGGGGATTGAGGAAGCCCTTTCTCCTAGGAACACACACACTTTGGACTCAAACACCATTGATAAGGCTCTTTCTTCTTCTTCTTTTTTTTTTTTTTTATCTTTTCTTGCAGCGAGCATTCCTTTCACACCCACGCACACCCCGGCACCCTCAGCCATTGGCCTGCCGGCGCATCCGTCACACTTTCCGCCGGCCAGAGCAGATCCACATTTCAACTGCTTCCATCCCTCATCTCCTCTGGTGTTAACAGCCAGCGCAAACAAAGGGCCCGAACATCCATCGCCCCATTAAATTGTTTTCGTTTGTTTCTTCTGCCGCAGTTGGTTTGCGTTAGAGGGTTTGTAAAAGGGATTTGGGGTGGGCGGCTGATGCAGCGGCTGCTCTGGCTTAGGGTGACACTGCAAGCGACACCCGGGACAGGGATTCTGCTCTGCCACGGGTGACAGGCCAGGGAAACCTGCAAGCAACAGTGGGCAAATGGAAAATGGAAAGTTTTTGGGTGAGGGGAGGGAGAATCAACCTGGGGAGCAGCTGGGATAACAGCAGACAGAATGTGGGGAGCCCAGAGCCCTCTCTCTCACCCGGCTGCTTCTTTTCTCCCTGCACTGGAGGAAATGGGGACAAGCATTGCCTCAACCGTGAGCTGAGCTCGTCCCGATTTCAAACAGATGTTGGGCCTGTGGCTGGATTTGGGCAGAAAGCTCCTGCTTTCCCCACATTTGCTGGCCATACCTCATCAGGGATGCTGGCCCCGAACTGCTGTGGCTGGTTCTCCCTTTAGCTCACAAGATGTTCCCTGAGCTCAGTGTGTGGGTGATGGATGATGTCCCACGCGGGCTGGCTTGTCCCCAAGCTGTCCACCTCTGCCTGCCCCACCACGAGAATCATGAAGGCCAGATTCATAGAGCTGGGGAAGAGCTCCACTCCCATGAGCAAAGCCACTGGGGCAGATGTTCACCAGTGGTCCAGCAGCTCATGGTGCCGCTGTCACTGTCATCTGTCCTCGGCTCCAGGCTCAGCCCACGGTGATGTTGCGACACTGCCCGGAGAGGATGAGCATCCCTCTTGCGCAACCCCATCCATCCCATCCATCTGCTCCCCAGCCTTTCTGCCTCTCAGCTGCATTGATTTGGGGGGCTCATATCACCCCCAGAAGTGGGGAACAACCCCTTTGTGTCCTGGGAAGGGAATCCCACCCGGTTCTGGAGTCAGGGTGTGAGCTGAGCAGGTGAGACACAGCACCAGAGAGCTGAGGATGGCATCTCAGGGCTCCTTGGCACGTCCCCGTTTTTCTCACCACTGAATTAATCAGATTTGTTTGTGCAGCCAAATCCTCACCCCATAACTGGTGGAACTGGGGGCATGAGCTGTCCTGCTCCCCGTGAGCTGCTTTTGCTCAGCATCTCCCCATCAATCTGAGATAGGTGATGGCACCTTCTGCCCACCACCTCTCATGAACAGAGAGCACCAGCTCTGGGGACACCTGGGGCACGTGAGGGGCACCGCAGAGCAAAGGGGCAGCGAGGGTTGAGGGCACGGGGAGCCCAGCAGGGCCCGTCTGGGTGCTGAGCGTGACTCAGCACCGCGCCACGCCTCGTGAGTCACTCACTGCTTCCTGGTGCACCCTGAGTTTTCTCTTCCAGGTCCCTCCTGGCAGCTCTGGCCCAGCTGGGCCACCTGCCAGCAATGCAAGCTCTGCCTCACGTGCCTGCCAGCCCTGCTCTGCTGGCGCTGTCACCCCTCGGCACGTGCCCGCGTGCTGCCGGTGCCAGGCTGCTCCTCAGGGCCCCAAATCCCTGAAAAGCAAATTCTGGGCAGTGAGGCGAGACCCAGTGGGTTCAAACACGCCATGGGCACCAGCCATCCACTCACACCAGGGCAAAGTGGGGCAAAAGAGGGGTTTTGTGCCCGGTGGGCAATGAGCTGGCATGGGGGGTTTAGCTGGGAGCTTAGGCAGAGCCCACCTGCATGTGGGCAGGGATGAGGAAACACAAAGTGAGGAGACCACCTACCCCCTTCTCACTGGGGGACTGAGCATAAACCATGACAAACAAACAACCCAAAAACCAAAAAACAAACAAGCAAAAAACACCAAAAAACCCAACAAAAAAAAAAAAAAAAAAACGCAGGGGAAGGGTGGATGAGTTTCCAGGATCTGAGTCCAGCAAAGGGATGAGACAGGGATTGCAGTCAGCCTCATCTGCTGAATATGAATTCACCTCCAGCCTGGCTCTGCCGTCACCCCATCCCAGCGATTTACCCCGAATTTACCCGGAGAGGCAGCGTGGCTACAGCTAGGGGAGCATCCCACAGCACCCAGCGGGCACCAGGTGCCTTGAACCACCCCAGGAGGAGCCAGGACTGCAGGAAGGTGGAAATGCAGGGAGCGGAGCAGGGCAGGGATGCAGGAGCATCCTCGGGGCACTGGCAGCAGCTCCGGTGGCCCCAGTGACCCAGTGGTCCCAGCAGCCCTGGTGGTCCTGGTAGTCCCAGTGGCCCTGCTGGTCCTGGTGGCCCCAGTGATCCCATGGCCCTGGTGGTCCCAGTGGTCCTGGTGGTCCTGGAAGCCCCAGTGGCCCCAGTGGTCCCAGCAGCCCTGGTGGCCCCCATGGTGCCAGTGCAGGTGCTACTCGCAGGCCAGCTTCCCGTCGAAGCTGGAGAGGGCGATGGCGAAGGCCTGCACGGCGCACAGGGGGTAGTTGTAGTCCATGGTGAAGGCGTCATCCGCCACGCGCCCAAACTGCATGACGATGTAGTCAGCTGTGGGAGAGAGGGGAGAGCCACCGGGCTGTCACCTGTGCACCCACCTGCCCACGCTGCAGAGGCCCAGAGAAGCTGCCCACACACCCCCACCCAAACTCAGCCTGTGGCTTCCGTGCTGTGCTGCAGCACAGATCACCAAAAAGCATCGTTTTCTCATGGCACCCTCGGGTGCCTCCAGCACCCCCTCCCTGGGTGCCACAGCCCCCCAAGGGACAGGGACCCCACTCACTCCACCCCCCTGCCCGTGGGATGGCTGCTGCACGAGGGCGGGTGACAGGAAATCTGTAAAAATAACCAGGGGCCCTCAAGAGGCTTTTTCTGTCCCGTAACCCAACACCCCGGAGGCCAAGGGCTTCTGACTGCGCCGGACAGGTGACGAGCAGCCGCATCCAGGCAGAGCTGCTGCCACCCCTCAGCTCAGGGACTGTCCCCGAGGCACAGGGCACCCCAGCAGTGTGTGCTGGGGACAGTGCTCTGGGCTGGGTGGGGATGGGGGCTCAGCACCCCACAGGATCTGTCCCTGCCCTGAATCTGCCTGGCAGAGCCCCACATGCTGCCCCTGCCAGCACCCAAGCGCAGCTCCTGCAGGGAGCCCTGTCTGGCTTCATCCCAGCTCCAGCAAAGGCAGGCAGGACTTCAGAGCATGAAAAAAACTGAATTTCAACAAAACCAGTGGGTGCTGGGGCCAGCTCACGAGGCAATGCTCCCCGACCCCGTCCCCTGTCCCAGCTTACGGTCGCTGCTGTGCACGATCTGGAAATTTTTGACGGAGGCGTGGGTGACGCGGCCGTGGAAATTGAGGACGTAGGACTGGGTCTCATCGTTCCACACTGGGGCTTTGTTGTGCAGCTCGATCACGTTGTCCATGTTCCTGTTCTGCCATCGCATCAGGAGGCCGTCGTTATCCTGGGGAGGGGAGCAGAGTTGGGGGGACCCCTCCAGAGCCCTGCCGCCTCCTGTGGCATCCTGGGGATGCTCTGTAACAGTGCCCAGCTGGAAATGGAATCTAAAAAAACCCAGACACCATGTCTCCCACCTCCCAGGGACGCCTGAAAGCCTCTCCATGCCCCAAGATGGGTGAAACCCAAGGTGGTGCCCAGCAAACCCAGCTCCCAAGGAATTTCTTCCAGTCTGGCCCTGACTTACGTTCCGGGGCCGGATGGGCACCCTCTCACAGTCAGCATTCATGCCAGGGATGATGACAGTCATCTTCCTGGGGCCTTTGAACCCCAAAACGTTGGTTTCCTGCAAGAGAAACCCTGTCCCTAAAACCAGGAACCACTGCAGGTTTCAACCTCTCATTGGGGCTGAATGAGGGCTCGGGGGTGGCTCCAGCCCATCCCACACATCTGCAAGCCCCAGTGAAGGGGTGCGGGGTGGGAACCCCTCTCTCCCTGTCCGGGGGAGGTGGAAGGGGCTCCTGTGGGGCTGCTCTTACGTAGACCACGGCCGAGAGCTCCTGCCGCACGTTGGACCAGTCGGCGTTGGCCCTGTCGGGGTTGGCGCCGTTGTCGAACACGGTGAACCTCGTTCCCATCAGGTTGGATCTGCAGCCAAGGGTGGGACATGGCTATGGCTCAGGTGATGCCACTGAGTCCCCTCTGCCCCCTCTGTGACCCTTCTCCAGGCATAGCCTTGGTTTTGGTTTGGCTGCAAACCCCCAGTGCTGCTCCCCACCAACGCCGACCTTCCCACTCTCCAGTGGTTTTCTTGGGTTTAAGGAACCCCCAAATCAGGGTGTGATAGGGTGCTGCCACCACGGGGACCCCCAGCATTGCTGTGTGGCTGCTAGCAGGGTGGGCTGGGACTTGCCAGGTGCCTTTTCTAGCCGTGACCTGTCTGCTGGGAGGAACCGGCCGAGCTTGTTTTCCCCTCTCAGCCCCCCACCACTCCTCAGGTCAGACACAGCAGTGGGAAATGCTGAATTAACCTCCTGTCTGTGCCAGCCTGTAAGCCGTGGAGTGGGGAGAGGGCGCTGCAGAAATGGGGTGCCACCAAACTGGGGTGCCACCAAACTGGGGTGCCAGCTCTGCTCCTACCTCAGCTTCCCGATGAAGTTCTCTCCACCCCGTGACAGGTCAGTGGGGTCGATGGAGATGAGGTAGTTGGAGGTTTTGCTCTTCTTACGCTTTCTCCCAGCAAGGAGGAACACCTGGCAGAGCAGTGTGGAAACGGGACATTGTCACTGCCTTGGTCACTGCTGTCCCCCAACAAGTCACTGCCATGACCTTGAGCAAGTCATGAAGATGATCCCCAAAATACTGCCTGCATTGCAGGGCAGGAGGGGCTGAGCCCAGCCCAGCTTTAGTGGCTCTCCAGCTCTGTTAGCTCATCCTCCCAGGCACAGGAACAGCAGGAGAGGGGAGCAGCCCCATTCAGGACTCACCAGCACATTGGGATGCAGGTGAGCATCCCCCCAAACCCCGAGGGTGCTCTCTGGGATGGCTGCAGCGCCCCGGGGGTCTCCATGCCCCCACCCCAAATCACCTTTTTGTCATTGTCCAGGTGCAGGTAGTAGGTGGGGTAGAGCCCCCTGTCCATGCCCTTCTTGTCCCGTGTCACCCGGCACTTGACGGTGACGCCCTGCGGCGCCGGCTGCAGCACAAACTCCTCCAGGTTCTCCACCTCGATCACAGGGGACGGGGGCCTCTCCTCCTTCTGCTGCAGGGTGAGAGGGATGGTGAGCCCAGAGCCTCCTCCCAAACTCCCCAGCTCATTGCTCCTTGCTGTCCATCCCCCCATGGCTCTGCAGCTGGTGGCTCTGGGGACACTCTGGTGGCTCTCACTGGGGGATGCTGCAAACCTCCTGACCTGCTCTGAGGGGTTCCCCATGGCCCTGAAGGGTCTTTTGTACCTTCTTTGATTTCTTTGCTTTCCCCTTCTTGTTGGAGTTTTTCTGCAGGGTCTCCGGGGTCTCCTCCTCGCTCTCATCTCCTTTAGGAGGAACTGCTGGCAGGAATACATAGGGACACAGAAGGGAGAAGATCCTGACTTTACTGAGCCCCAAAAATCAAGCTCAGCATAGACCCATGCCAACATCAATGATTGTAGCCCCCTCTCCATGGCCAAGCTCCCTGCACCCCCAGAAGCCCCACCAGAACCCTCCAGTGCCAGGCTCTCACCTTTCTTTTTGGATTTTTTCTCTTTTGGGGGGTCCCCACCAGTCTGAAAGAGGGATGCTGGGTTTTTCTTCTTCTCTGACCTAATGGGTTTGGTGCTGGAGTCGGAATCATCCTCCTCATCACTGCTGGTGGCAGCTGTGAGGGACATGGGGGACATAAAGGGACATGGTCACACAACACTGGGGGCTGTGGGCTCAGGGTGATGCCACCTCCTCCTGCTCATCCCATACCTTTCTTCTTGCCTTTCTTCTCCTTCTTCACCTGGAACACGGACATTGGCTCCTTCTTGGTGCTTTTGGCTGATTTGGCTTTGCTGTCAGGGTCACTCTTGTCTTCTGCTGGGACAGAGGAGCTGGTGAGCAGCCAGCCAGGGAGATGGGAATGGGCAGTGATGGGGACAAGGAGGGGACAGGATTGGAGCAGCAGAAAGGGCTGAGATTGCTTGGGGAGGGGGCAATGGCCCTGCAGCCCCCTGAGCCCCCCGGGACAGTGAAGCCCCTCCCAGGTCCCAGCAAGGACAGATCCCAGAGCTGGACTCAAGCCATCCCTGGGCACTCACCCTTGGGCTTCAGCTTCTTCTCCCCCCCGCCCGAGAGGGGCTCTTTGGGAACCTTCTTCTTGAGCTTTTTGGGCGGGTTTTTATTCTCCACCTCTTCCTCCTCTTCCTCATCATCCTCATCCTCTGCCGGCTCTGCCCAGAGGTGACAGCGGCATCAGCCAACACACCGACCCTCCTGCTGTCCCCTGGGGTGGTGACCGGACCCTCCTGCTGTCCCCAGGGCTGGTGTTGGGGGTCCTGCTGTCCCCAGGGATGGTATTGGGGTCTGACCCTCCTGCTGTCCCCCCCGGTGGTGTTGGGGATCTGACCCTCCTGCTGTCCCCAGGGATGGTGTTGGGGGTCCTGCTGTCCCCAGGAATGGTATTGGGGTCTGACCCTCCTGTTGTCCCCAGGGATGGTGTTGGGGATCTGACCCTCCTGCTGTCCCCAGGGATGGTGTTGGGGGTCCGTCCCTCCTGCAATCCCCTAGGGTTGGAGTTGGGGGTCCTGCTGTCCCCAGGGATGGTATTGGGGGTCCATCCCTCCTGCTGTCCCCCCAGTGATGGTGTTGGGGTCTGACCCTCCTGCTGTCCCCAGGGTTGGTGTTGGGGGTCCTGCTGTCCCCCCGGGGTCGGGCGGGGCTGGGGCCGTGTCCAGCTCCGGGCACCGCAGCCGCAGCCACAGCGCTCTCTCGCGGCCGCAGCCCAGCCGAGCCGATCCGAGCCGCTTTTCGCTCCCGAGAAGCGTCCGGGGACATCAGTGTCACCCACCCAGGGAGCGTGTCACCCCCTGTGCCCACTGTCCCCCTCCATCCCGACTCCCCGGTCAGGGCCATGAGCGCAGCATCCCCGTTTGTCCCAGGTCCGTAGATGGGTTTTAGGCAAAAAACTCTGCCGGGGATGGGCAGAACCCCCGCAGAAGCTCCAGCAGGAGCTCCAGCGGGCACTGGGAGCACCGATAGCGCTATCGGGACATGGTACAAAGGGACACGAAGGGACACGAGCGAGCGCCTGCAGAGTTGGGTGTTGCCCCCGCACCTTGTGGCTTCTTGGAGCCCTTGGGCACCTGGGAGCGGGCAGCCAGGCTTTCCTTCTTCTTCCGAGGCTCCTTGGGGAACTTGGAGGAGGGGTCCTTGTCGCTCTCCTCCTCCCCCTTCTCCTCCTTCTTCTTCCTCACCTTCTTCACCCCTGCGTATTTGAAGAGATGCCCGTGATGGAGAGGGCCTCAGGTGCAGGGTGGGGCACCCCAATTCCCAACATTTCCCCCATTTCAGTGGGGGATCTGTGCTCACCCTGTGCCGGGGCTGGAGCCTCCTCTGCAGCCTCATTCGGCTTCTTCAGCCTCGGCCTCCGTGGTTTGGCCTCGGGCTCCAGCCCGGGCTCCTGCCTCTTCTTCTTCAGCTTCTGCCCTCATGGACGGTGCTGCAGGGGTGGTGCCAGCCTTAAACTCCTTTTCCCTTTACAGGGAACCCCTGCTCAATCAGCACTGGGTTCCTTTCAGAAATACAGCCAGGTTTTCCCCTGGCCCAGCGCGGGAGCAGGGACAGACACACTGACACCTTCCAAATGTGACTTACCATGGGCAGCCCCCCAAGGAAGGCAGAGGGAGGGAAACAGAAAGGTCTGTTAGCAGACAGACAGACAGACAGACAGAACATCTGCCCTGGAGGTGATGGAGGTGATGATGGTGCTGCTGTGCCAGCACAGAGGGACAAATCTCGCTGTGCCCATGGGGACACTGGCTGGAGCCACTCTGGCACTGGTGGCCTCACTGGGCACCTGAGCTGGGCCAGGGGACACAGGGAGGGGCAGGCAGGCTGGACTCTCACCTCCATCAGCTCTCACACCCACAAGAGGCTCCTGTGGACCACAAGGAGGTCAGCAGGAGCAGGGAGGCAGGAGGATTAGGCACAGCGCACCTAATCCTGGTTAGCTGGGGCTATAAATAACCCAGATTTACCAAACACAGAGCATGTGGGTCAGCACCTGGCTCTGGGCAGGAGGTGTTTGGGGAGTGGGTGTCAGCTCAGGGCTCTCAGAAAGTGATCTCAGCAAATCCAGGTGCACTGAGCCTTCCACTGCCCAGCAGAGCATCTTCCCCCTGCAGGAAATCAGTCCTGCCCTGCTTCTCCCAGGGCAATGTGTGAAGGTGTTTCGGCAAAAAGTGGGATCCTGATGGGTCCCTGTGATACCCCAGGGCTGTGAATTTGGGGAGGGGGAGCTGGGGGCTCCATGGTGGAGCTGGGAACTGACTGCTTTCTTCCGTGTCATGAGCTCACACAGAAAATCTCCTTTGCACCCCCTAATCCCTTAAGAAGCTGCAGGGTGGGCAACCACTCCCTTACTTAACAAAGCCCTTCAAGGAGGACCTGCTGATTAAAAATTAAATTGGGTGGGGGCTGAAATTGCTGCTGAGACCCTCCCAAGGCTGGGGGGCACCTGGGGGCTGCTCTGAAATGCAGGGAAGGGGGGTCTGGTTTCAGGGTCACGGCCTGGGGAAAGTGAGTCACAGTTTACAGCTTAACTGAGGGGCTTAATTAAACTGTTATCTAAGAACCAGGAACCCTCCTCTTGGGGCGCCTCAGAGTGATGGAGGGGGGTTCAGAAGGAGGCACAAAGAAGGGAGGGCTGTGGAATTGTCTCGACCCACCTGCTCTGGAGGGGGTTCCCAAAAATCTCGTGCCCTCACAGGCTGCAGCACCCCAATGGAGCAGCCCCAAATGGGCCTTGGGGTGGACTCTGGGGTTCTCCGATGTCCCAGCCCTTGGGGACAGCCCATAGCAGGGGATGGTGGCACATGGGATGGAGGGGAAGGATTTTTTCTCACCTGTTTGGGCTTGTGCTGCTGGGGGCTCCCTGGCTCCTCACTGGGGCTGTGGGGCACAGAAACCAAAAGGGTCAGGGCTTCCACAGACCCTGGGGGCACGGGATTGCCCCAGTTTTTGGTAAAGGGGGAAAGGTCAGTGTTTCACTTGGCTCCAGCAGCATTTCCCTGTCTCAACTGGGTCGAGCTTGCCTGACACCATCCTTCCTAACTGGGAGCACAGGACAGGCTCTGCCTTGGCTGGGGGGGACAGCAAGGAGCTAAATTTGGGGATCCCCATCTAAGAAACTTTTCCTCTCAGTAAATCAATGAGCATCATCCCACCAACCCCCAAAGAAACAACACCATGATAAAACTGCTCACTAAAGCGCGTTGAAATTGAAAACAGGGGAAAAGAAGGGAGGAGAGGGGAGTGTGCTGGGGGTGTCCAGTACATCACCCACCCAGTGGATCCCACCCCATATTATCCACCCAGCAAATCCCACCCTGCAAATCGCACCCCACAGATCCCACACTGCAGATCCACCCCAAATCCTGCTCTTCACTCACCAAGGAGACATTTCTGGGTGAAAAACAGATACTCAGGGATCCCACCCCATGGACCCCGCACTGTAGATCCCACCCTACATCACCTACCCAGCAGATCCCACCCCATGGATCCCACTCTGTGGACCCCAAACCGCATCACCCACCCTGCAAATCGCACCCTGCAGATCCCACACTGAAGATCCACTCTGTGGATCCCACCCCATGGAACCCACCCAGCAGATCCCACCCTGAAGATCTACCCCATGGAACCCACCCAGCAGATCCCACCCCACATCACCCACCCAGCAGATCCCACCCCATAGATTCCACCTCGCAGATCCAACCCCACATCACCCACCCCTGTCCCGGCACCGACCTGTCGGCAGCCCAGACCTCCCGCAGGATCTCCGTTTGCAGCGGCATCGCTCCCGGCCTAGCTCGGCTCGGCTCGGCTCAGCCCGGCACGGCTCGGCTCGGTCCCGCCCTGCCCTGCAGCCCCCACCAGCCCGGGGCCACGGGGTCAGCGGCAGCCGCAGGAGCCGGAGCAGCCTCCCCGCATCGCCCCCGCGATCGCTGTGCCGGGAGGAGGAGAAGGGAAAGGAGGAAGAGCAGCCGGGGGAGGCGATTAACTTTATTTCTCCTGAAACTCGGTTAATAGGATTTTCTCAGGGGCTGGCAGCCAGCGAGAGCAGCTGGCAGGGAGCGATCACAGGAATCTGCAGGAATGCGGGGGCTCAGCCAGACCCCAGAGCCTTTTGGGGCGCCCCTGGCTGGCTGGGGTCCCTGGCACAGCACAGCCAGTGGGCAGAGGAGTTTGGGGTTGGGAGGATAACCCTAAACCTCTGACCGTGTTTAGGGTTATCCTCCCTGGGTATCTTTGTTTTTCACCCAGAAATGCCTCCTGAATTTGGGCTGTTTTGTGTGAGCTGAGCATGGAGAGCCCATTCAGGGGAAGGCAGCATCCCTGCTCTGGGCAGTGTAAGGGTCCCTGTGCTGAGCACTGCTGTGCCCTGACCCCTGCCCCACATCCCGAGGTCTCTTTGGATGTGTTTCATAATCTGCTCATGCCTCACCTCCCCATTACACCACTGAACTCTTGCTATTCCTCCTCAGAGGCCCCAGGGATGGTGTTGGGCTGCAAAGCCAGACCAGCCCAGTGTCCCCAGAGTCCCCTTGGCCCTGCCCAGCCCACCACGGTGCCCCCAAACCCCCAGCCCGTGCTTGGTGCCACTAGATGGCATTTGAGCACTGCACACCCACCGGCGCCGGGAGCCGCTTAATCCTCCTTACAAAACTCTCCTGGTCTCCCTCTCATCTCCAAACCTCATCACCCACACGAGTTCAATTTCTCTTCCAGGGGATACAAAAGCACCAAGCCAAAATAAAC